CGCCTTTTTCGAACACGGTAGCGAAAGTATGTAAGTGGGGATCGCTGCCTGCTACTAAAACCCCCACCCTTACCCCCCTCCCCCCGAGCTGGCTACATTTCCCCTGGCTCAGGAATCCCTCCATTCTCGTGACACCACAGTAGTGGCATCAGTCCCCATTTACATGCATTTTGTGTCAACCGTATTGAAAGTGTGGCATGCCCATCTCACTTGTATTGCACCAAAAAATTGTTCAAGAAGCCAGGGCTACAAAAAGGCCATGCATGACAGATACGAAAATCAATATAATGTCATGAGTGCTTGGCCGTGATCGTTATCAGGGGGTGAGCTATCGAGCGGCGGACTTGGCTGGGGAGATCAAAATTTCTGATCAAAATCAAAAGTTGACGATGTAAAATAAAATTCATAGCTGCCCTCTGGTTCGAATCATACGATTCGCAATGGTTTTCGTTTCACAAACTGTGCTCTATACTTCCATGTGCACCGAAGCAACGTTTGGCACCTCTTATTCGGACAAAATTAGATGAAGCGATAGGGACATCTATCAAATCATAGGAAAACGCTTTGGATTTGTTTGGGATTTCATCGGAAGTTGCTGGGTTCTTTTCAGTGCAGTGTTATGCCACAATCAAGAAAACAGGCAGAAACTCAAAGGCAGTGACCACGATGGTTGGAGGCGGTGCGGCTTGGGAGACATCATTGAACGCCATTGGTGGAGAAGACCCCTCGGCGCGTTGGGTGTGTGGATGGCGCAGCCTCGCCCTTCCACTAATGTTGTTATGACATTTTCAAAACCAAACAGCCCTTGACCATCGTGACACCGCCCTTAATTGATTTCGAAGGTGCACTCGATTTGATTGTTCCTAGAATAGACCCTACAATAGTAAGCGGGAGGGACCAGTTGCGGTACAAAGCAATCAAGGCAAGCTCAGTGTACGGAAAATCGTGCCACAGGGTAGTTTTCTGAGGGAATGGAGCTCTGAGCTGGGAAAATCACTACTCAAAACAAATCCCTCGTCCCACTAGAGAGTTTCTTCACTGGTTCCTTAGCAGACGCCACGATGTACACGACCACTGACGGGAATGGCAGCGGTCGCAGCGGTCTAGCGAAGCTACTAGCTCACTTGTCGAGCACTTTCATGCCGCCACATCACTGTTCCTGTGTTTGGGAGTCCTCTTATCGTACTCCAGAGAATTTTCTTTCAAAAATATATTCGCGACTCGTGCCTTCAACGCTGACCTTGACAAGAATGACGCAAAACGAATTGAAAATTTATCTCTCGGAATGTTGTGATTCGTCCCGGAAATCTCAAATCAATTATTCAAATGTAACAGCACTTTATTTCGCATTGTTCCAATTATTAAACACATCACGTTTGATGAGGGTTGAACCATTTGTTTTAGCCAAAGCGGATGAACTCGTTCTTGCGTTTTGCAACTGAAAATCGTTTTTCATTATGAGGAATGCAAGTGTTAATAATGAAGCTAGATTACCAAGTGGATCAGTCACACCTGAATCAGACCGGCCAAACCTGAAAACAGGTCAAAATCAGTGCAATCAATTTTGCCAGGTGTAATAAGCAACTTACCGTATGAATTCATTCTTTCTTTTGCCGAACCGTATGAACTCGTTTTTCCTCTTGACTTCACTGAAAAGTAAACAAAGTGAATATCTGTCTCTGCGAGAAAATAAATAAATACAAATACTATGCAGTATTTAAAATCAGGGCGGTGGTGTAGTGGCAAGTGGCGCGCTTACCACGCGTCGGCGGATCAAATCCTGGGTCGTGAGTCGCCCGGGCCAACCAAGCCTTCCATCCCTCCGGGGTCGGTTAATTGGTACCAGACTTGTCTGGGAGGATAAAAACACTGACTTGTACATCGGCTGGCCCCCGCAAGTCATTGTATAGGCCACATCGCATTCAAATGCCACTACGAATGTACAAATGGAAGTAGAATGCGTGCCGCATCCCAAAACGGGATTGATCAACGGCGATTGTTTCATACTTTATCCTTCCACTAAAAATCAACACAGTATCGTTTCATTATTCAACATATGGATGACTGTGTGGCCCGCCAGCGCGCCACACTTTCACACAGAGTCGATTCGTTTTGTTTATTTTTTTTGGTTTATTTTTTTTATTTTTTCCGCATTCTAAAGTGGCCCATTTACATTATCGGGCCCGAAGAACAGTGTTTTCATTACCAGTAATGATTTTCTTGAAGGTTTACTTATTACTGATGAGAAGTATCGAAAAAGGTGCCGCAGTGCACGCATAACGAGGGGGACAGTGGGTTAACAATATGGAATAAACAATATGGCGTAGGTGTAGCGAAAAGT